ACGTCTAAAATATGACATATTCAGAAATACTACTATCAAACGAATCTGCAAGCTTATATTTTGAGAGAGAAAAAACAAAAAACAACTTAACCAAAAGGTGTACTGTACTGAATTTGCAACATGCAGCTTTGAAATGTTCTCCCTTTTTTAGTTCATCTCTATGCCCCAATCAAATTTCGTCATGACTATGTCTTTGAACAACCGCCACCCAATCCTATTCAAATTTAGATTGCATGTCCAAAAACGACGACCATGCCATTATCCACACATGGACTAGTAATACTCAGAGGCACTCGAAGGACAAACTAATGGCCAGGCATTGTTCTATGCAGATGCCTAGGAAATGCGATGCAAACAACAATACCACCACAATGTGGAAATGTAAAAAAATACACACACCATCCGTATCCATGTGTGCATGAGTGTGTTTCACATCTCCCATCTTGTTCATACTCCATGCAATTGAAAAGGCTAGACATATGAAAAAATATGCAAAATTTTTTTTTTTCATGCAACAGGCAGCAGTATTGCATACCACATTTTGTGGCAGGAAAAAAACTGTCTTTGAAATTAAAGCCTTTTGCAATGACCGGAAATGCTGAAAGCTGGGAAATGGCTAACAGCTTGACTATGTTTGCCTAATCCATCAACGCCATTTTTTGCAATCTATCACTAGACGAAAGCAATTGTTGTTGTATTATTCTTTGTTTTAATTAAATCTTGAAATTCAGTTTTCCATTAAAAATTTTTGAAATACAATGCAATTCTATTGTCAAATTTTAAAATTGTTTGTTGCCATATAAACGGTCCCCTTTCTTAGGGCCATAGGTAGGAATATTATTGACCTTTCTTATCGCCAGAGGTTTTCTATATATAACGTATTTTGTCATATAAGGGTCATATGTTCTCCAAAGAAAATTTATTGAAACTTCAAAGAGCCATAGATTTTATATAAAAAAATGCTAGTCTTTGCTATTGTCATAATTTTACAGTGAATTTCTAAGAGACTTAGATTTTTTTTATAGAAAATCTATTGGACCTTCTTTGGACCGGAGACTATGTACATAAAATATTTTTTCGACCAAAACTAGGGTCTACAAAAATTTTATTGACTTTTCTAAGCGTCATAAAATTTCTATAGAAATATTATCCCTTCTTAGGGTCTAAGACCCTTATTGGCCTTTCCAAAGGTCAAACAAAATTTAATGGTTCTTTCTAAATTACTACCAAATGTTTTCGACTGAAATTGGATCTTTGCAAAGACCAATTTTTTCTACAGAAAATTTAAGGGCCATGAGTTTTCTATAAAAAAAAATAGTAAAATAGTTTACCATAGCAACATTTCACTTTCTTCTATGATTATATATTGGATATTATATAAAAACCCCGAAGTGTATCTAATCTAAATCCAATTTCCATTTCTATTGACAATTAAAGGATCTTAGGTTTTCTATAAGAAAATTATTGCCCCCTCTAATTGCCCTATGTAGAACATTTATTGACTCCTTTTGAATGTGTCCAAATTTGTTTCCACAGAAAGTCATGTATTTTACACGACACGTTCAACAAAGTATTTCAATTCTTTGGCAATTGTCTTATTTAAAGCTGGAGTTAATTTATCTTGTCAACCAAAGCTAATCTTAAGCGTGACCGAAGTGAAATGACGAGGCATTTTAGTTTAGTGTGTTTATTTTTTGATCGCATCGGGCGCTCTTTAATCTATCAACATTTGCTTTTTTGGCTTTCGGAACTGTATTCCCGTCATCATAGGCGCAGCTGAAACACGCATGTCCTTTGTTAAGTCAATAGCAGGCTCCCTTTTAGCACACACACGCACAATTACCCTCAGTGGTTGTTGGCGAATACTCATTTGCTCGATTCCATCCTAGTGTCCCATTTCGAAACACACACACATACACACGAACAAACACCTTCAAAATTCTATACAAATCTAATATTTTATGAACACACACACAGACACTCTCTCACTCAAAGTGACACATGCGCTCGCAGGCATTTGATTAAGATCCTGGGATCTGTAGTTCTCTTTCGGTGGCCGATTGTTGTTGTTGTTGTTGTTGTCTGTTCTGTATCGGACATTGACTACAATTCATCATTTTGGAATTCATTTTAATAGTGTCGGGTGGATGGATTTGGTTTTTGTGTTACATATTTATTGTTATTGTTGTTGCTGTTTGGTGTGTTTTTGGCACGCGTTATCCTTTAACGAATTTAAGTGAGGAAAAAAACAGCTGCTCCTTGCATTGCTTTGTCTGGCCAAATTCAGGACATTTGCAAAAAAAGATTAAATGCGATTTTTTTTCGCTCGCCGACACACATTCAAAACATTGTGTTGGGGGGTAAGAAGAAAATGATGAACGGTGTTATTTGAAAAATTAATTAGTATTTTCGAATGATATATTTTTCATACAAAGTAATTTCACGACAAGCCAAAACATGGGACGGAAATTTGGCATGCGCAGCAATTTATTGTGTGTGCAAAAATATAAAATAACATATGTTGTAAATATTTATTTATTTTGGCCTATTGAAATAAAATATTTTTAAAAATGTTATTTTTTGAAATTCTTAAAAGAGAATTTACATCTTAAAACGGCATTTATTTGACATATATTCAAAGGAATTGACAATTGAAACCCACTGGGTTAGGGAAATCCGGTTAAATGTAAACGTACTATAAAATATTTGGTCTAATAATAAAAAACTGGTAAACTAATTAAGTTATTAAAATATCTGTAAAATATTGAAATATAACAACTCTTCTTCAAAAAAATAATTTTCATAACATTTGCATAAGAATACTCGTGGCGTAATGGACAATGCGTACTCTATCCCTTCATAGTTCTCACAAATGTAAAGCTTCAATATTTCTCGATATTCTTCAAGGATTCCAGATGCCATAGACCGGTCAAGATAAGAAATAAAAACGACCTTGAATGTGAAATGTTCTCCCAGGACTTAAACATTATCATAAATACAGCTGGGATCCCAAAAGTTCTTGTTTTGATATCCTGCCCTGAATAATATGTGAAAACAATCATAGATATCTTTAAATTTCCTACCGGTTCCGACACAAACAATGTATTGTTTATTTCTATTGAATCCAAAGAAGTCTCTTTTATAAAGAAAATAAATAATAGTTATCAAATAACAATAGAACTAGAATAGAATATAACAATACCAGAAAAAAATTATAGCTTAATGGTAAAAGGGGTAGCGCAACAACTGGCCATTGTCCACTCAGCATCGACAGGAACCGTTATGACCCATTGTTTACATAACATAAACTAGAAATAGACCATTTTCGTATAAATAAAGGCTACAAGTTTTTTAATTCCTTAAACAAGAATTTTCAAACTTTTCAAATGTTGACTTCTTTTCGTTTTGGCAGATGTTTGGTAAATCATCCTTTTTGCGTTAAAACAAATTGTTATCCTGTTTTATGAATAGGATGCTGCAGATGTTTCTTTTCTTTTCAAATGTTTTGAAGAACTGCTAGAAATTCATCCTATTTTCATTGTGCCTCTATCAGAATAGAACAAAAGCCCATTTTGTGGCTGACCATGAAACAACTTTTCACAAATTTAAAATATGAAAATAATAGGATACTTTTTCGTCTTCCGGATTTCCAGTTATGTATATAATTTTTTATTCATTTTTTATTGAAGCATAAGATTCATACGATTTTTTTATGTTTTGCATTCAGTATATTTGTATTGATGTTTTGCATTTGTTATTTCAAAAGGAAATGATAAGTTACCGGAATAAGATTAAAAAAACAATATTGTTATCTAAAAGTAGTCTGTTTCTATTCCGATTTATCTTGTTTTAATAAAATATTTTCCCTATGGTTTTCCGTGAATTTAATAAAATAATCAAGTTATTAGGAAGAATCCTTCAAAGTCCTCCAAGAAGCAAAAACAACCAACACTATAGTTTCGAAGATCCTCATCACTTAGATCCCTTGGATTTTTCTTAGGGATATTCTAACGCTTAAAAAAAGAATTTTCTACCAAGTAACCAATTAACACAACTCATTAAGAATATCAGTGGTACCTATTCTAACCTCTTACAACGCCCTTGTAAACAAATCTATTTTAAATTTTATTTATTAGACTTAATTATTTTGAAAACAGAAAAAAACAACGTTTCTCAATCAATTTTATTTGGGCCGACACCTGTTGGCTATTGAATGAATTAAATGCTTAATCTAAGCTTGTTTATTTTTTATTTCACATTTAAAAGTTTTCCCATGAGCACGTCTTTATTCCCTTTATGTGTCTTCTAGAGAATTACCAATACATATTTGATTATTTTAATATGGTTGGCAATACATCTCCTCTGTTTTTTCAATGATTGGCAATTTAGCTGAACACTCTTATCACAGACACACACACACGCTCTTTAGATGTGGCAATACCCTTTCTAAATAATGACAACTATTTCCCAACTGGCCATGCCAGACAGTATTGTATTTTATTTGAATTAACATTGACACGTGAATGGCAACTATACAGAGTTGTATTTTTGCTCATTTTCAAAAACAAAAACAGTAGAAGAGAGATAAGGAGAATTGACACATTTGGCAGATTGTTTCATATAAGAGAATTATTTCGTAGTGAAGTTCTGTTTTTTTTTGGTTACTCAACCAATTCAATTCACACTGAAATATTCATTCGCGTTCTGAACATCAAGCTAGTAGCAAGCAGCCGATTCAGCGACGACGACCCGGAACCGTGATACGAGAGTGCGAGAGTGTATTGTTGTGAGTGCTTCCATTCTATTTTTTTTTTTTGTTCTGTTACCTCCTACCACCAAGAAAGGCCGAAAGAACAATTCCTTCCTTGACAGTTGTAGTACACACACGAAAACAGAAAAAAAAACAGAGAACTGAAAGAAAAACAAAAGACCTAACCAGCAAATGCAAACGTGTGCTATGAATTTCCATTAAGAAAAATCATAAATATATTCTCACGCGAATAAGTGAAAAGAAAGTGATTTTGATTCCTTGTTCTTTCTCTTGTGTCTATTTGTAGGAAGTAAAATAAAACCGATCCAAACACAATGGTGCTATACCGTATTTCATCGCGTAAATTGCCAGAAGCTCAGGTGAGTTACAATAATTTCTATGATGTCTAAGAGTGTGTGTGTGTGTGTGTGTGTGGCTGTGTACGTGTGTGGTATTTTGCAAAATAATGCCAGGCATTGTCAATGTTTTAAGACTGTTGGCGGCAGCGGCGGCGACGGTTGGTGGTGTGATATGCGTGTACACCAACCACATCGATTAAATGCCTAGAAAGATTTTTACTAGTCACGTTGTATAAATCCCCTCCAAAAAAAGAAAAAGATGAATAAAATCAAATATATTGCCGGTACCACCACCATGTGCATTGAAGTAGCGTGTTCTCCATTGATTCAGTGCTGGAGTAAATCACCCCAGTAATGTAAACTTTGAACTCTCTGCCTGGCTGGTTGACAGGCCAGGCAGGCATTTCGAGAAAGTCATCGCCCCGCTTGCTTCTTGTATACGATGCCTGCCTTCTCCTATTGTAGAAATCATTAACTCAACACTGTGAAAAGTAGGGTTAATCCAACTCTACAATATATTCCGTTGTCAGTGGTGTGTGTGAGTGTGTTTGTGTGACACAAGTAATCTGAGATACGCGATTATGATGATGTGTAAGCGTGTTGAGTTTTTTTATAACAAACTGTAATTATGAATGTGAAGTTCTGTTTCTTGCTATGTAACAATTTTTTTTTCGAATTTTGGTAGTTAAGTTCTTTTTCGGCTGGCCTCCTTTAGTTTTAGCCACAATACGTGTGACCAAAATGATAAGAGCCTATTCTCTCTATCAGAAGAAAAAAAGTACCGCAGAGTGAAAGAGAGGGAGAGTGAACATATGTGGGAGAGTTGACGACTCTTGACTAGGGGGGATTTATTGCTCATTTGATGAGCTAGGAGGAGAAACGAACCGCCGCCGCCTGCTACTTTCTTTTATCATGACTTTTTTACGCTTGCGTTGAAAAATTCTCATATCGGTCGTTTTCTTCGCTGTTCCATATAATTTACCCACTGCCCCATTACATAACAAACAAAATAATATTTCTTTGCATTGAATCTTTGTTGCAATTTTGTTTATTAATCTTGTTTATTGGCCAAAGCAAATGATGGGTATTTGGTCAACCAATAATTGTTAATTAGTGGGGGCGGCTTGGATATTCTAATGACCTTATTTTGTTTTGTCAGATGACAGGTGTCATTGTTATGTGAGGAAGAAAAGTGTGAATTGGGCGAAAATAAAAAACAAATATTTGCAATTTGCACATTTAATAATATTTTTGATTATACTTATATGTATTTAAAAATGAAATTATATGAATATCAATAATTTAATGTTTTAGTTGTGTGCTTTTGATAGGCGTGCCTTGTATTGCGTGTTTATGTAATCACTTGGCAATAGGAATGTTTTTTTTTTTTCAATAAGAGAAGTGGAATTAAAATGATAAATAATTAACTTTAGTCAAATTAATTGTAAATATGGAACATCTTTACAAATGTTTTTAGCTTTTGGAATTTGTTACATACCTTAGTGAAGGTTGATGCTCCGCTACTAGTTCAGTTGCATGCCGGAACAATAGGCTGTGATAGTTGTTAGGGGAATATAATAATGTTCTAATAGCCATTTAAATATTTATTGGGTATCATACCTTAATATACCTAATTATCTATGTGATCTGTGGTATGTTCGATACTCTCTCAAAAATTATATTGAATTGCACTGGAACATTCAAGAATACTTTTACCACTATTTGGTAGAATCAATTTGCGAACAAGTTATATAGTTAGAATATATAAATGATTCTGTTATAAATCAACATTACTAAATTCAGGAATACCTATTTCTATAGATAGTCACTAATGACAGTTTAATCAAAATTTTCACTTTTTCAATTTAGATGTTCATTCTCTGTTCATTTGTAATATGGGCTTACTTAGTTGACGTTTTTTTTTGGAAGAACATCAAGCAATCACTTCTTGGAACTGAGTCCTAATGCACTAACATTTATGCATGTTCTGTGAATATGTTACAATATTCTTAATAAGTTGTCTTTTATGTTTCCGTTTTCAAAACACACTTCTACGCTGGGGTTATTGAACTTTAAGAAATAAAACTTTTTTATATTCTGAACTGGTTTCGAAGCAAATGTGCACACATTTTAATACGTTTCCTACTAAATTTGGAAATTATTTCTAATATACTAAAGATTTATTTTATTTTTTTTATACATTTTCGTAGTTCTTAAAAATGTGCCGGTTAAAGCTTCAATTTATTGTTTCAATCAATTTAATGTTCAATATATATATAACATATTTAGTAATTAACACACCATAAACACCTTAACATTTTCAGATGTAATACACTTATTTATTGACGCATTCAACTGTTTTTTCTATCTGCTCATTTCCTCTATTTAGAAAACCGGTTTTCGTTCTTTAGCTGATCAGTCATCATTTGAAATCTTTAATGTTTTCATGTAATCTAAAGTATCATGGCAGATTAGTAGTGTATATGTTTAAAGCCCAAAATATTGCATTCGTCAGCAATAACTCAAATCGTTTTAATATTATAGCTCCCCTTGTTGAAAAAAAAATAAAACTTTCCTACAATCTCACATATAAAACAACAATGACAAATAAATAATTTTTGATTCGTGTCAGAGTTAGCAGCAGCTGTAGTAGTGAACAAATCAGCGTGATCTTTTTCGACGAGCTTTGGCTTTTATCTTAACGACTATTGGTCATTGGCGTCAATTGGTACTGTTGTTATCTTGTTCAATGGATAGGAGATTAAGTGAAAATACTTTAAAGTAAATGAATTCCGTACAAACATTATTTTAAAAAATTGCATTCTCAAGGGCTACCAAAAAATAATATCAACTCAAGTGTACTAATTCTAGAGATGACAATTTGCATGTAATTTATTTTTCACTCGCTCCAGACATATACAAGGTTCATTTTGCTTTTAGCCTTCATTGTAATTGCTGTTGTTAAAAATAACAATTTTGGATGTAAAACACTCGCATGACATCACCATCCCACCACATATAGCAAATTGATTTTATATATTTTGTACAGATAAAAAAAATAATAATTTTTCAGTTTTTTTTTTTTTAAACCTGATGCCCATGTGTTTATAAACTAAAATTTGTTTATAATTTTGGTATATTCTGGAAGTACTTGAAATGAACATTAAATAAAATAATGTAATCTTATTTTATTTATTATTTAACCCTGCTGTTATTAGAAGTGCCACGCGAATAGTATGCCACATACGTTCATACATATATGTATTTCGTGATATCGCACATTTTCCGGTTTTTTTTGCTCTGGTGACGTAGGAAAATCTAGGGAAATGTGTTGATTTTTTGTGGAAAAAAGATAAGGCAAAACAAGTGGCCCGTGTGTGTTTGGTATGTAATTGTCATGAACACAATCAGACTTGGTCGTCGTAGTGACGTTTAGATTATGACACTCCTTGCGGACGTCATTAATATACGCTACAAGTGTATGAATAAGATTGGAATGATTTGTGGATTTTTCTAAATATATATTGTGTTATGTATAGATAAAAAAATATTTTAAAAATTCTAAATTTAGCTAGCTAGTTCAACATACTTTGGTTCTCTTTTATTTTCTGTACCATAGCAGATCTATGCTAGTCAGCAGATCTTCTAAAACCGAATCAGCCTACAAAATGTAAAATTTTTATTTCCTCTCTGGATTCTCTTTGTATTTCAAATCTTAGGAAATTACCAATGTCAGTAAATGCAACCTTCAAAAACTGGTCAAGAGTTTGTGAGGTCTGTCTGTTGTCTCTCAGAGGAGATACGATTTATATATTATATTTATGCAAGTATCAGACAGTAGTAATTCATGCTTGAGTTAAATCATGCGTTAAATCGTCTTGTTGCTGGCAAACAGTGATAACACATAACGATGATAGTGAGTTGTATACGCATTTACTTTAACCTATAATAGCACAAAAAATAAATAAGTTGTATGAATCACTTTTGTAATATCTACTTGAAGCGGTGTTGGATGTCGTGCTTAGTTACTGTTTAAATTTCTGAGAGACATTTGTGCCAAAGGCAACATATCCTTTTTTATAAGATTCAATATTAATATAGATCACAAACATGACAATAAAACATAGTTACTTTCAAGAAACACTACATACGGTCTGTTATATCGTAGACGACTCGTTTTGGTTTTTTATTATTGTATTTTATTTAATTTTCTTCTGTCTGGTTGGTCAACACATCCCTCTCTCTTTCCTCTTCAAGTCAATGCATTTCACTTGGATGAGTCTAGTACGTACTTGCAGTCACAATATTCTTTGCCACAAAGCTGTGATGTGAGTGCGTGTTTATATTGTACGGTGCAAAGGGTGAGTGTGAGTTTACATCACATGGTGGGTATAAATACACGGACAAGGAGACCAACAACAACTGGGCTTGCATATTCAATTAATTTGCGCGCCAGTGTTCCACTCACACTGATTACAACGTTATCAATAGAGCGGAGCACACCACACATCGAGGCTTGGCACTTTTTCCGCCTTCCTTTCGGAATTGAAATTTAATAATTCTAATCGAATTAAACGAAAAGACAACAATATGGGTCAATATCAGTGTGGTAACTGGAATAAACTGCAACGTTGTGATTGAAAAGATCGCAGTGCCGCAGCGTACAAGTTTAACATGCCATTTATTTGATTTTAGAATTTTTTGTTAAGCATTTATAATTTGAAGTTCCCAAAGAATTCAGTTGCTTTATTTTTGTGAAACGGTTATTGAACTATTTTAGATTTTGATTAATTCTTGTTGTAACCGTATGTGACAATGTTTCAAAGAAATATTCGAAATGACAAAAAGTGATGAGATATGGCTTCTGGCAGCTGAATTTCATTCTCTGTTGGTGGTGGCGGTGGCGTAGTATTAAATTCTAAAAATACATGAAAGAAAACATTTTTATTTTCTTTATAATGTTTTTGTTTTTATTTTTCTCTTGCGTAAGATAGACATAATATTAGCATCTAACAAAAAAGAAAAAAAAAATATACGTATACATCATCCCCCTTGTTTTTGAAAGAGAGGTAGAGAAAATTCATCCACAATTGAAAATTGCGCAGAAATCTGGCCAAAATCACTCTCATACAATATTTTGAATTACTATATTTTAATATTTTCCTTTATTTCAAGTTAATGCATGCCCAGTTGATTCATACCTTCTCAAGCGTAATTGAATACTTGTTTACCTTGAACTTGAAATTATTTTATTCAATAAAAATTTCATTTCTTTATATTCTACATAAATATGACAGCTGAATAAAACCAGCTTCCAAGTATACCTTTTAATATTTAGTCAACTATATTTCAGTCTAATAATTTTGGCATTTATATCTTTCCGTTATTCAATATTGTTGGAAAAATAATAATAACTGTTGCTGTTGCAATTCATAAATCAATTTATTTAAAATCATATAACAATAAATAAGGAAGTTGAAATGTTTTATTTTCCCAGCACTTATTTATCATTAAATGTCAATGCATGCACTCGGTTACAGTCATTAACTGCAGTTGCAGTGTTCATGATATTGAAATAGAGGTTGTACGTTTGAATTTTCGCTATTGCATGCAATTTTAGTTAGTCGAGCATTTTGTTATTCACAGGCTAAGGTATTAAACGAAATATAAATAAATTAAAATGGACGTATTGTAATCAGCTGTTTTTCTAATAAAATATGACTTCGATAGTAAGCTTTTTGGACTTATACACAGTAAATAAAATATTAATAGTCCGGCTATTATGATTGTCAAAAGCAAATATACAGTGTCTATTGACTTTTGCACTTTCCTTTCCTAAAAAATCTTAAATTTGAATATATACATTTTTAACTTTATGGCTTTAGTAGCAGTAAAAACAAGTAGCATTAATATTTTATGTTAGGCTTCAATAATTTTACCATTACCAATACCAATAAATGTATTAACCATTTAGTGTGATTATTATCTGCCGCATTCAAAGTACTGATAATACCAACAAGGGCATAGATATAAAGCCTTGAAGAAAATTTTTGATAACGCCACGAATGTCAACCATGTTTAAAATACTATTTCCCATTATCTGATAAATTGGTAGTACTATTTCCTACACACGTACACACTGACACTGGAATTCTAAGCAGTGTTGAGGAGATGATAAGATTTTCTAAAAGTAGCGCTAAACAAATTCTATATGACTCGGGTGGGTTGACGTACGCATATACCATGAAAAAAGTATTATGTGATCATTTAATTATCAACGTCATGTGATTTCGTTCCATTTTTATTTTGCCATATCATTTTTTTTCTGCTACTCCCTCTGGTATTTAGTGGAAAAATTAACACAAGTAAATCAAAATTGCACACAATCTATGTGAAGAGCTAATTTCTTGAACGAATAAAAGAATACCAACAATCACCATTGGTATGTTTTTGTTTGAATAGAAGATAGAAAAGGTAAACATAAAGAAAATATCAAATAATTATTAATATTTTGCATAATATTTCAATTGAATGCGCTTTCATTTATTGTTATAAGGAAATAATGCATATTTGTTATTAACCTTTGCCGGGAAATGAATGACAGATACATTGTCGTGTCGCTAATGACATCATGTGATGGATGAAATGTTTACTTGGAAATAATGCCACAAACACACTTTGAGAAATAATTGCACACAAACATATTTCTTTGCATTTGAACAGGTGAAAAGAATACTATTAATTCTATTATCGATTAAAAATAGAAACAATTATTTTGACAAAATCCGAAATGTTTTTGAAACTACAACATTGGTTTAAAATTGCAGTCTTAAAAATTGGTTCTATCCCTTATTCAATACTATTGGAACGAACAATGCTCTCAAGTAAAAGTGTAATGGAAACTAAATAAATTGGAATATCTCTCTTGACTATTGCATACTAACTAGGAACCATATCCACTAATAAATCCAACCAGGAACAATAATAATTCTACCGGTTTAGAACAATCCATTCTTTGATTGATGATGCTAATATTTTGGCTTTTCTTTTTTAATGGAAAAATTTACATTTCTAATGAAAACAAATGATGATGGCAATCATCCACACGTCATCATCATCGCCATCAGTTGGTTTCAAATTACAACTTGTTGCAATCGTTTAAGAGAACATTTCGCACATGTATGAATGATACCGCCAGAAACGTTAAGAGGCAGACACTCAATCTAGGCTTGCGGTTTCCCATTCACTCGCTAGCAAGGTGTGATGTAAGCTGTGCTAACGACGAATATTGACTTTTTTGCATATTCAATTGCACTGCTGTTTTTTGTCATCATAGCCGATATTGTTGTTGCTGTAATGATTTATCAAAAAGTGAGGTATTATTATTAGCTGACAACCAATAACTTGATTTATTTATAAATAATATGTCACATTGATAGTCATTTTACAATAAATAATGCTAATTTATGCTATCTAATTGATGGCGCCTAAGACACACGCCCATTTTGCTCTATATTTTCTCATTTGCACTTAGTGTCAATGACTCAGGAACCGTTAATGGAAATTGACAGATAAATCTTGTAGCCATTTTGTAAATCTGAATTTTTATACAAATTCCGATGTTTCGGTAACTAAATTACTGAACATTAAAATGTTTCATTACAGTAACGATTTGCTTCTTCTACTTTCATAAAACGCTCCATAACACTCATAAAAATTTGTTGTTTTACTCTTTTTCTGGAAATAATGTTAAAATTAGTGGCCTATAAGAACTTAATATGCCAATTGTCAAATGTGCGCCTTTATTCAGTCACGTTACAACTAAACGCACCACGCCACATTTATAGTGTTTAGCATTCGACACATGACATGCCTCGTCTTATTATTTGTTATATGTATGTATTTGGCGAACCATTGACTAAGTTTTTGTTTCTTCTTAATGTTACGCCACCTTTCATTTCTTATCAGTTATTAAAACCCAAAGAAATTTCCCTGTGGAAGATTATTGCTCATCTATCTATCAACTTTTTTTGAATGAAAGCATTTTGATTGTAATGAGGAGAAGGCCTGAAACGGGCGCGTCAATCCAATATTGGCATAGCGTTACAAGTAAATTACACAGTTTTCATTATTACAACAAAGCAAGTGATTAGCCAATAAAATACATCTGTACGTACATAGAAATGTATTCATAGAACTGTTTACGGTCTATATGTTCTTACAGAAGAAAAAAGAAACAAAATTGAAACTATTATCTAATATAATGCTGCGCACACACACACACCACTACTACTTATTCTCAGTATAAATAAAATGTCAAACAATTTTTCTAATTTATACTTTTTTATTTCAGAAATTGAATGCTTTCTTGGCCCAATATGCCCGTTTCTTCACTGCCGATTCCAGCTTGCGTGAAGTTTTAGCCCAAAAAATTCCCGCTGAACAGGAACGCGTCAAGAATTTCAGGAAGCAATATGGTTCCTTCAAAATGGGTGAAACTACCATCGATATGGTGAGTACAAGATATGACATTAATAATTCATTGATAACTATTTTATTTAAGCAATCGAATTGTTAATGAAGTTTACATATTATTAGAGTAGTTGATGATAAGCATTCAAAATTAAATATGATTACGTAATGCTACGTAATATTTTCTTTTAGTTTATTCAAAATCCATATTGTTTTACATCCCCTTTTAAGTTCCAGAATTTGTTGTTATTATTCCACATCCCCTATTTGGTTTGCCACCTAAAGATGATGGCCTGTTTTACATGAAAACATCATTTTGTCCGAAAATCCCCTTCAGATGGCCGCTGCTAATGCGTTCATACATATGTTGGAAACGACGTCCACGTCGACAATAGCAACAACAGCCATCTTCATCAACAGAATAAGAATAATATTATGGCCAAATGCCAAGCGATTAAATAATCGTACTTGCTTGCCTATTCTTCAACGTAGAATGACGACAACAGCAAAATATCATGAAATTGTTAAATTTTCTTTAATTTTCTATCCGCTAAATGCCGGTCTCTCCACCATACCACTCCTCTATAATGGATTCATGGCGGCAGCACTGCTAAAATTAAATGTGCATTTTCTGTTTTGTTGTTTTTTTTTGTGTTCTAAAAAACTTTTCGTGCGATTACACAACATTTCACTTTCTTGTTGTTTACCAACCTGCAAAAAAAAAGACATTGGGTTGAATAGGGGAAGGTGGTACATATGATGAATGCATTGACTTTGTTTCAAACTACCGGTTGATTTATATTTTTATGCAATTGTTATTATTCCCATACGAGACAAACAAATATACATATATTGATTTTCGATTATGTGACTTTTAGTTTCTTTGCTAAAATTGCATAATAACAAATACCATTGACATTCCCATTGTTTTGGTGCCAGTTCCTTGATAAATTGTATTACAATGAAATGGAACTGCAGGTGGTCCGAACATTTATATATAGATATATAGGTATTACTTTTATATTCGACCTGATCGATTAAATGCCAAGTTTTGACCATACTTTGACACAAAATGTGCTTTGATCCTTCCAGATGTACGGTGGTATGCGTGGTATCAAAGCTTTGGTTACTGAAACCTCCGTCTTAGATGCTGATGAAGGTATCCGTTTCCGCGGCCTTTCCATTCCCGAATGCCAAAAGGTATTGCCCGCTGCTGAGGGTGGTGCTGAACCATTGCCTGAAGGTCTTTTCTGGCTCTTGATGACCGGTGATGTCCCCACCAAGGCTCAAGTCAAGCAATTGTCCCGCGAATGGGCTGAACGCGCTGCCTTGCCCCAACATGTTGTTACTATGTTGAACAACTTCCCCACCACCTTGCATCCCATGTCCCAATTTTCGGCTGCCATCACTGCCTTGAACCACGACAGTAAATTCGCCAAGGCCTACTCAGAGGTAAGTGTGCATAATGGCATATGGCCATTTAATTGTATGTTGTTAAATTTTGTGTTTTTGCTTTGTTTTTATGCAGGGTGTCCACAAGTCCAAGTACTGGGAATACGTCTATGAAGACAGCATGGACTTGATTGCCAAGTTGCCCGTTGTCGCTGCCACCATCTACTGCAACACCTACCGCAATGGCAAGGGTTCCAAGACCATCGATCCCAATTTGGATTGGTCCGCCAACTTCGTCAAGATGTTGGGCTATGACGATCCCCAATTCACCGAATTGATGCGTCTCTACTTGACCATCCACAGTGACCACGAAGGTGGCAACGTATCTGCCCACACTGTTCACTTGGTTGGCTCCGCTTTGAGCGATCCCTACCTCTCCTTCGCCGCCGGTATGAACGGTTTGGCCGGTCCCCTGCACGGTTTGGCCAACCAAGAAGTCTTGGTTTGGTTGCGCAAATTGCAAAGAGAAGCCGGTAACAACCCCTCTGAGGAACAACTTAAGGACTACATCTGGAAGACCCTCAAGTCCGGCCAAGTCGTTCCCGGCTACGGTCATGCTGTACTCCGCAAAACAGATCCCCGCTACACCTGCCAACGCGAGTTCGCCCTCAAGCATCTGCCCAACGATGAACTCTTCCAATTGGTTTCCAAGATCTACAAGGTCGTGCCACCAATCCTAACTGAAACCGGCAAGGTCAAGAACCCATGGCCCAATGTAGATGCTCACTCCGGTGTCTTGTTGCAATACTACGGCATGAAGGAAATGAACTACTACACTGTCTTGTTCGGCGTCTCCCGTGCTCTCGGTGTGTTGGCCTCCCTCATCTGGGATCGTGCTTTGGGCTTGCCCATCGAACGTCCCAAGTCCTTGTCCACAGACATGCTCATGAAGATGGTTAAGAAGTAAATTATTAACAAATACCGTACACAGTAATAAAACCAAAAACTATTTCTAAAACAACAACAACAACAAAAATATCCATCAAGTCCTGGAACTCGTCAAAATTGTTCGAAAGTATACACACTGATTTAGAATTATTTTGATTGTATTGCTATGATGCGTGGATATAACTAGAGAAGAAACCACAACAACAACAAAACACATTTACTTAACGAATTAATGATTAATTAATTTTAATTTAATTTAAATAATACAACAAACAACAAAAAATAAAAACCCCTAAAATAAACCAAAACGACTATGTGACTATTCTCATTTGTCAATACAAAAGAACAATAATATTTATAAAAATAATAATAATGATACTGAATAATATCAACAAAGGTCACAATAACACACCCAAATAGTTTGATAATCGTATTTATTAAACTTTCCATAACTATGTTTTGGATGGTGATTTTCTCATGAACAATGTATTATTTTAATTCTCAAAGCATATTGCGATAGGTGATTTGAACACCTAATACTATCTAGAACAATAATCTAACAAAATGAAATTATTCAAATATTTTGAATATAACCATGTTTGTAGTGTTCATCGTTGTAAAGAAATGAAACTAAAAGAAATACACATGTAGTTGGAATTATGAAATTTGATGAAAACAATAAAATACATTAAACGAAAACACTCATATTTCAAAACCAAATTACATTTATTCATATTTAAAGGTGACAATATAAAATACTCAAGATACCGAGTTCAAATCAGTTACAAGAATTATTAGTTGGAGTAAATTTTCATAAAAAAATTTATTGGACAAATTAAAGCTAAAAACAGATTTGTTCAGTGAAGGGTAACGTAACGTATTGTGTTCAAAATAAATATATAGACAACTAATTACGATTTGTTTTATGGTTGTATTGGGGGGGTGGTGTCATCCTTGGCCCAAATTTTAGCATTGAGTTTAGTTTTTCCTACGAAAAAATCTGAAATTAATACCAAATACTGCTAAATTTAATTTAAAAAATGATAACGTCCAAGTTTAAGAAATTGATAGAAATTATTTAGTATTTACATTTAACCCTCGATAATTTGGAACTCAAATATGTTAGACTTTTCCGGTCTCGTGGAAAAAACTCTTCTTTGAAACATTCGGTAATTTTATTCTGGTCCGTTGAGATTCAAATTCTTGTCAATCGAATATATTTATTTATTATTAACAGATTTTTACAAGTCGAATGTCTATTTTAATTTTATATATCATCATTCCAAAGTATTATTTTAAAAAGTAATTCAAATTAATTTGAAAACGGAAAATTGAATTTCATATGAAACGCTATTGTGATTTATTCTGAATTTCATTTAACAGTTGTCTATCGATCTACAGAGCCCCATGATGCATTTAACAAAATCAGCTGTTTATTTTTTGCTATTTCTCAAAAATCGATCTATAAAACTCTTTTGTTGCGCCAAAATTTGTGTTGGACAAACTTGTTCACGAAGAGGTCGGTTTTTCTTCTTAATTTTCGCGAAATATCGTTCTGTGATAATTGTAACTGAATATTTCCCTTTCGTAATTTTCTATTTTTGTTGATGTAAACACACAGTGACTTGACAACTTTGAATGCAATTAAAAAAGTGAAGTGCGCTGCATTATCGTGTTCCCGTGTCGGGTGATTTGTGTTGTTCAAGTGCCATTAAGTTAAGAACATTTGTGGAGCGTTTTGTGGCCAAATAATTCTTCTATCCACCGCAAGCAAAGATAGAAAAAGTAACAAATAAACCGAGAAAAAAAGTTAAGACATGATAAGTGGAATATTGTGAAAATTGAAAGTTCTCTGTTCCAGATTTGTTGATGGCGTTTGGTGATTAATGAATTGATTTGCGACTCTAAATTCAAATAGGAATGGCCTTTGAAAAAAAAATGTAAGTAAAACAACCGACCCTTTCTTGATAACAAACAGCGATCGATATATTATTTATATGTAGTTTGTGAAACAAGACCCGAAGATAGAATAACAATACTTAAAATATCCTTACCATGCCGTATGTTGACAAATTCACCCGGAACAGGACATTCAACTCAATCAAGGAAGCAAGTACCATAAATCCCAAATGTATCGCCAGAAAGGCTGCCACATATAACAAGCCAGCCATAATTTTGTCCTGGCTGTATGTTGAGGAAGACAGCTTTGATGAGCCATGGTAGACCCAAACATAGTAGGATGTCAAAGATATTGGAACCAAGTAAATTGCAATTGTGCATTTAACAAAATCAGTTGTTTATTGACTGCCTTATGCAATTGCTCGATTAGTTGAAAGTCGATTTAAAGAACTCTACTGTTGACCCAAAATTAGTGTTGGAGAACATTGTTCACAGAGCGGTTTGTACTGTATCAACATCGAATCTAGTTCCATTCGTTCATTTGTCAGAATAGTTCCTATAAAATCCGTTTGTTCATTCGCTCGCTCTAGTCTAAATCAGCTGTCACAATTAATTTTTTATTACAATTTTACTAGAGAAATTGTTATTGGGGCCAGAGAAAAATTAATTCATAACATAAATAAGTTACAAATCATGGCCTACGATCTGAAAAAGGAATCCGATGTCAAGGAATATATCGACAAACTAGGAGTGGAGTACCGTTTCGGTTGTTATTCCGAAAAGAAACCTGAAGGTTTGTGAAGTTTTGGTTTGAAAGTAAAAAAATTACAGATCCTAACCTCCCAATGTCCAGCAAAGAAAATGTAATAACACATTGCAAGGAAACTAAAACTGACTGTCTATATCTTCTTGTTGTAGTTTGTCATTTACTGGGAGACTATTTGGAAGGTATCAAAAAAGATTTCGAAAAAGCCTCCAAAGTATATAAATCGACATGTGACGATTATGGTTACGCAAAATCCTGTTTCAAATTCGGCAACTATAGTTTCTTGGGTAAGGGCAAAAGCGGTAGCAAAGGAGATCCAAAGGCGGCATTTAGCTACTATGAGAAGGGTTGCAACTTAAATGATTCCGATTCCTGTCTGCATTCTGGCCTTTTGTTGGTGTCCCGTTCGATGCCAAAGGAAATTGATCGAGATGTACAAAAGGTAGGCCCGACACAAATACAAAAAAACAAATCGTAGAAAATCGAAAATACAAATTTTATTTTAGGGCTTGACTTACCTTACAAAGAGTTGCGATATGAACAATGCGACAGCCTGTTTTTACTTGTCCGGAATGCACATCTCGGGTGTTCAAAGTAAACCAGAGGAATACAATCCTCATGCACCTCCCGCGAGCCAGAAACCCGTTAAGGACAGTGACTACATTGTACAAAAGGATATGAAAAAGGCATTTGAGTTTGCGTACAAGGCTTGTGAACTACGCAATATGTACGCCTGTGCCAATCTTAGTCAGATGTATGCTCGCGGTGATGGCACAGAAAAGAACGAAAAGGAAGCTGAGAAGTACAAGAAACTTGCCATCGAAATGCAAGAAGAAATCAAGAAGCAGCAACAGACTTTACAATTCCAACAAGGCCTAAAGAATCCCCAATAATATATATGAATCCGCAATGCAGCATTGTGCAAATGCCATTGAAGAGCCATAACATGGAGGCAATACAAAATTATATTTACTTAAGCAATGTAAATACCCTATTTTTCCAGGCTTTTTTCATGACGCCTTCGACGAGTGCTTTGCACCCTCTACGAAAAGCATTCTTTGAAGTTAAGATATCCTCCGCAACTATTTTTCAGTTGTTGTAGTTTGCGTACATATAGTTTTCATTTGACGACTGTAAAATGCTATTTTTATTTGTTACACTACTTTTCTTTCCCTTCAGATCCCACAACATACTAAGTTAAAGTAATTTTTATAAAACGAAAGGAAGAGTTCTTTTGTTTATTTTTAGTTAAATAAAGGTATATATTTTTGAAAATGACAAATAAAGGAAACTAAGCTAAATACACAATTTGTGGCCTTTGCTGAATGGAAACATTTTCGGTAAAAAAAAACAAGTTTAGAAAAAAATTCTACCCACACATAAGTTCATAGTTTGCCATGTTGATGTTGTATCTGTAGAAATATGATAGAAGAACGTATACCCACAGTCAGGGGAACGTAGTCCCAACTAGTTAATTACTCACATACTCTGCTTGTCTATATTTTGAGAAGTTGTTGACATTTTTATGCGCAAATTAATATTTGCCAAAGATGTTTTCCCTTTTTTCTTTTTAAATAATTGCAAAAACCCCCTTAAAAACACGATAATAGTTTTGTTTAATCTGTTTTTATTTAAATTAAAAATCTTATAAAATAAATTACATTTCATTAAATTGTTTATTTTTGTTATGCAAAGTTTTATACATTATATTTTTCAAAATTGTTTGTATTGTTAATTTCCACTTCTATTGTTCTTACACGATGACAAGAACTGAGTTTATTTATGTTTGCAAGGGCGATCAATATATTATTTATTTATATGTATTTGTATAATAAATGATAAATTTTGAGACAGGACATCTGTATAAACAAACAGTAGTTGGTAAAACAAGACCCGAAGATAGAACAATAATACTTAAAATATCCTTAAACAATGATTCTCTTTCGGTATTTAGTTTAGAAATCTAAATATGTATAATTGTGTGTGTGTGTGTTTTGGTGCGTCTGTGTGAAATTCTTGTTCGATGACCTTAAACGGCATTTGTTGTAAGGACTTGCTATTCTGATCGTGTTTATGCGTACTACAGATGATTTTGTTGCTCTTGTTGTTGTTGCAATTAAATGGATTTACATAAATTTTGTTGTAACTGATATCTCTTAACTTAACAAAACGACATTATCAAAATATATCCGCAAACTCCGAGCTGCAATGTTCAGAGCCAAATGGGAGCTTTTCACGATCTGCCGCATGTCGGCAAATTCACCCGGAAGAAGACATTCAGTTCAATCAGGGAGGCAAATACCAGGAATACCAAATATATCACCAGACAGGCTGTTCCCACTTTTCGATCCAGTTTGAATTTGTTGCAGGAGAAGGTCAGATACAAAAGAAACAGTGTGGAGAGCAATGTAATGGCAGAATATTCCAAGCCAGCGGAATTGATGCCTACATAATTTTGTCCTGGCTGTATGGGAAAGAAGACAGCTTTGATGAGCCATGGTACACCCAAACATAGTAGGATGTCAAAGGTATTGGAACCAATTGAATTGCAAATGCCCATTGAGCCATGACCTGGACGAAAGGGAAGTCGGATTATTTGAAACGAAAAGAATAAATGATAATTGAATACAATACCTCTTTTGGCGACTATGACACTGGAAACCGCTTCGGGGACACTTGTACCAGCCGCTAAGAAAGTAATACCCATGACTGAATCAGGAATTTTTAATGTATCACCTGCAATAATGAAACAGAATGAATTAATTAAATTCGGTTGGGTACGTTTGGGTAAATAGGTTTCAATTATTTACTTACCAATTATTGTTATCATCCAGGCAACTACATACGACAACGATCCAATCCAAACAATACACATGACAAATGTCAATGGAAAGATTTTATTATTTTTGGCCTTTTTACAATCCGGTATGGCAATACGGAATAACAAGTGTATTGGCCAAATAATAATCCATGTAAACTGGGCAAAGCAGCTCTTACCCCAGGGATAGGTTAGCAAAGAATAGCCCTCTTCTTCCTCTTCGCCATTGGTTGATGGTGTATCAATTGCCGCAGCAGCAGCAGCAGCAGCAGGAGCTTCAACATCTGTATTTTCTTGCGTCGTTGCCGGGGGAGGCGATTTCACCACACAACCAGAATTGTTTGTGGACACTGTGGAAATTGTTGTGGTGATGGTGTTGCTAATACAGGTGGTCGCAATGGCCGGCGTGGCGGCGGACGATGGTGTTTTTGCCGATTCATTATTTACACCACCGTTCAATTGAATTGTAGATAAGTTGTGGCATATGCGGTTCTCCACAATTTCTAAATGGATATGGAAAATAATTAGCAAAAAAAAGCCGTACAAATATAGGTAGGCATGGAAGGCAAAACAAACAGGAAGTAAACATACATACATACGTATATTGAACATTAAACAAGTGAACATATTTACAAGTGGATATTATAGTATGATTGATAGACAAAGTTCGAAGTAGTGACATTCTCAGAAATTCCAAAGTAGGATTTGAATGGCAACAGAGTATTGCGAATAGATTAGATAGCATCTAGATTTTAGAATACTAGTTTATTTGGAATATAACTATGCAGAGAGAAGCAGAGAGTAGGAAGAAACAAGTTTGTGAGAATGGTTTTTTTCGGACTTTAGAGTAGTAGTTTAGTTGTTTAAGTGTGATCATTTGAAATTATTTAATAAGTTGACTTTGCTTGAATAAGACTTTAAACAACATCAATTATTTTGATTTGTTAAAAGTCTCCTAATGATCAATCACGGCATTTTAAAGAATTTTTTAGATTTTTTAAATAAAATAAATAAAAATTGCCAAAATTATTTCATTCTGATCTCATTCCATGATTGACCGCCAGTTTGCAAAAATTGTTTTTGTTTGTTTTCGTTTAATTAATTATTAATATATGCTTGTAGAACACATAACATAACACAAGAGTATTTAGCAAAAAGGGTAAAATTATTTTTTATATAAACCTGGTTCTTTGTCATTGCTGTTCTTGGTTTGTATGCTACAATTGGATGAGCGGCTTCGTGAACGAGCTTGCTTAACACCACCTGTGTTTGTTTTATTACAACAAAATCATACCATCATCAACAATCAGTAAACATGGGATTACCACACCAAATTTTGAATGCTTACCTTTGGCACATTTTTGAAAGGTTTTATCAAAATACATAACAGCTAAATAGACGGCATAGAGAGAAACCAAGATCAAGGCCTCGTACCATTCAACACGTTCGTCGTGCATCACACAAATCAAAACGGCCACAGTGAATCCATACGCTATGCTGTCGCGTGTCAATGGCCACCAATCCAATGGTATTGTCTGCAACACAAGGAAAGATGATTAGCGCATCTGTGCAAATACAGTGTTTATAGTGTAGAGCAGAATAAAACATACCATTCCAGCTCCTATGCCACAACATGCTGCCACTGCCAATATATTAAAGACAGCCGAGCCCACAATGGTACCCACACCAATGTCACCCTCTGTAATAAATGTTCCTATCACATTTACAAATAGTTCTGGAGCTGATGTGGCAGCGGCCATAAATGTGGCACCCGCAACATCATTGGACATATTAAGGGCTACCGAAACGAAGCACAGATGAAAGTTGGCATTGAGATAATAAGTATTTTAAGAAAAAAAGAAGAAAATACACATACCTGCACATATTTTTTCCACGGCGGGCACAAAATATTCATCACATACTACAGCTAAGGCTACGAATAAATATAAACTGGCTATAACATGAAGTACAACAGCACCCGATTGTCTTTGGGCCTCTGTGAATAAATCCCGTGGAAAATCATCTATAGCGGGTTGTGTACAATTTATATCTAAGGGTACACAGAGAATAGAATAGCAAAAGTTAATTTACAGATTAGCAAAAAGAGTTTGTAAAATAATCATAAGAAAATGATACGACCGAACCAACAAAGTCTATCAGCAGGGTTAATATCGGATGAACACTTCAATAAACGGAACTATTAGTGCGTTTACATTTAACCGGATTTCGTTAACCCAGTGGGTTTCAATTGTCAATTTCTTTGCATATATGTCAATGTATGTTAACCCGGTAAAAAGTTCTAATGTATATGCCGTTTATTATTTGATTGTCCGAAGAGTTAATATTACAATATGTACTTAGTACTTTCATTTAAAATGAAGTTTTATGTTGACATAAGATATTGAGCTTTTTTTATGAAACATTTATAAAATCATGGAAGAATCTGTTTTGATAGATCGAAATACTCTGCATGAAAATCTGCATTCAAACAAGTTTTACAAACTACATGTTATGAGAACAATTATGTACAACAGATTTACAAAATTGAATTTTAATTTATTTTACATTTATTTATATTATCATTAAATTCATTATTAATTTAGTTAGAATATCCCCCGACATGAATGGTACCATGGATCGTATACGTATGAAATATATTGATCATACGCACACGAGTACCACCTGTTCATCCTTTGATATTTTATTTCAATTAAATTTGTTCGTACTTAACGATAGTAATCTTTTTTTGTAAGTATTTTATTTTGGCGGCAAAAGTGTAAATCGCCAATTTTGTATGGAACCTTACACATTTATTTTCATAAATTAGAACAAATGCCGCCTAAATAGTAGAAAAAAACCTTCCCTGTCAGCTACTAAAGATGATGACAACACAATAAACAAACTTAAATTATCTATTATAAAGCGGCGGTACTACTTTTACACAATTTAAAAAAAGGCAACAAAAAACTAGCAAACAATTTTAATTGATTTAGAAAATTGTGAAGAGAAAAAAATGGAAATTAAAAACGCAACTTGAAAAAATAATAATAGCAATAGCAATGATTGCAAAGAACAATAACAAATTTGTTTCAAGATTGAATAAAAACAGCAACTACAGCTAGCGAAATGATCAACGGAAGCTATAAACTAAGTATTCAATGCGGCAATAAACAATGAACGATAAAGATCTTATAGTTCGACGAAGGAGAAGATATCCAAATCTAACAAGCAAACGAACAAATATTATGGATAATTAAATGTTGTTGAGGCACGCCGATACATAGCTGATAAAGTCAGAATTTGTATTTTCTCTAATGTTTCGACTTTTGTCATTGTTGTGCGATGAGCACACACACATGCCCACTTACACTCAAGTAAATTCACTTTTGCGGACAAACAAAAAGGCCGCCTCTGAAACACCCTGTGTCTCTGTGTTGGTTGGTACGCCAGTCAAGTCAAGCAAAATGCTTTCTCTCTCAATTAAATGATTCTTAAATTGCTTAATTAAGTCTGAAAAAAGTAACAATAAAATCAAATCGCAAACTACCGACAGACAAACAGACAGACAGGCTGGCTGGCTGGCAAACAAATCGAAATCAGAAATCTCCACTCTGGTGCGAACTCATAGCATACATTTTCACATATCTGGTCACAATATTTATTTGACTTTGCGATGCAAAAAAGAATTGAATTGAAATGTTTGCCTACTAATATGAGAGAATTGTGTGTGCAAGCGCGTGTGTGTGTGTGACATTTATAATATTGTCTCATTACTCTTCTCTTCTAACGCAAAGCATTAGTTTATGATGAGAATTCGATTGCATTTTTTGTTTTTTGAATTCTAACAATTAATTTGAGAAAAACAAATGAAAATAGAAACAAATTTATTTGCATACAATTTTAGTTAATATTTGTTGGAATAAAAAAACACAACAACAACAACAATACCTTTAGTTTATATTGAATACTCTTTCTTAAATGGAACCTTGGAAAATGATTGACATTTGAGGTATTGTGTTTTATATCGTTATGTGACATTCAAACCATTATCTACAGTTTTTTCGAAGATAATCAGTGAGATTTTATTATTCTAGAAAGTTATTTCTATTGATAACGCAAAATATGAAATTTCTAGTTGGAATTTTTACACAACATTAGAAAATCATTATTTAGACTTTAATTATATGCAATGATAATTATCATGTGAAAGAATTTTAATCTACAATAGAATACGTATTGGACAAATTGAGTCGAAAATAGAGTGGTCATATATTAGGTTGGGGAAAATCCATTATTTTTTATGAACTATAGGACTTTATTTAACATGCTTCGTAATGTCCGATTTGGGCCAAATATGCACCGTTTTGTTCTATGATTTGATCATTTATCCGATTTTATCAACATTTTCGACGACCAGCCTACCTGTGCGAGGTGCATCTTTAACATCAAATATTCCTGAACGGAATCTACGAAATCAAAATAGCACATAATTGGCTGTTACAGTATCGTAACCATAAACATCATTCATAATGTTAACCGCTTGGCTTGCATTTTCGTTTTTGTAAAAGAACAACTATAAAATGTACCGAATTTTCCCTTTGTTCACTTGCATGTTTAACACCCTGTAACCCACAACGAGCATAAATCTAAAATTATTTGGTCGATACTTTACGAGAAATCTGTCAGTACAGTCATCTGCCGAAAAAATAATGAATTTCTTTTTCCCCAACCAAATATAAAAAAAGTGAAAAATTCTTTAAAATCAACACATTCAATTTTTACTCGATCAAATGTAAAATGCAGAAAATTCTTACTCTTTCAAAATCGGCTATACCTTTTGATATTTTTTGAATGTGAGCCGTATTTTTTCTTCAGATATTAAGAGGATATGTTTTACAAAAATAGTCCTCATTCGATTTAGCTGAAGGCATGCCATCTCAAAAATAATCTACAATAGAATAAAACAAAGATGTGAAGCTGATTTATGAAGAAACTGTAAGTCATAACTCAAAAACTTAACGTGTTTGTGCTTCTAGGTCCGCGCCAAGAGCTTTCATCGCCATAAGAAAATTTTCACTCCCCTCATTGTTTTTATTATCGTATTATATATTTAATCAAAGCATATATGATTAAATATAATGAATAACAGTGTAATTGTCAATTAATGTCTGCCTTAAACCAACCAGACAAATAATCATAGCGTGCTAACAAAAATTAGAGTAAACGTTATTTAATATATCCAGATTGTTATCAAATAACTATTGGGACAATTGTGTTTTTTCCACTATAGATAAATAATATATATTTTTAATGACAAGTGTTAAATGAATTACATTAATAAATAATCTATTGAAAATAAAATGGTATAACATATTATGAGGCAACTAAAAACAGCACGTTGTTCATACGCCACAATGTACCACAAATTATACAAATCCCTATTTTATGTCATACTGAAAATATTAGTATTTTTTTAATATTTACATAAAATATTATGAACATACATACAAATCCCTATATATGTTATACTGAAAATATTATTCATTTTAATATTAACGTAAAATGTTATAAGTATACATCCATGTTGACAAATTGACGTCATTATTATCAACGTCATTTTATTCATTTATATTAATATTGCCTTTTTTCCTTTCATCATTTCTTTCGTTTCAAATGCTTTACGATTTGTTCTTTGGTTCTTTCTATCTTTTCAAATTTCTTATATACCGACAAAATCTACTGCTATACACGTATGTCATAAGTCGCTGCTGAGTACTAAATTCGATGATGGCTGTTATTTTTTTTATTTTCTTTTCATTTCTAAATTGCTTTGGGTGTGATGTTCTTAATCATCACTTTACATTGTCGGTGTTGTTGCTGTTGTTGTATTTTGCTCTTGATGCCTCTAGCCGTTAGTTGACTGCTTATTATTATTTATTATCTTTTACATATCCATCGCTCGCTTTGAGATCTATGGACTACAACCTATGATGATGATGAAGATGATCATCAATTTAAACCCATATTATCGCACTTCTTCTTCGTTTTCTATAGTTAAGGCATTTACTCTAGTTTACGAATTTCATCGTTTTCTATGCCCCACACACACTGAGATATAGTCCTCATGTTGGTTGTGATTTCATTTGTTTAGTTTGGAAGTGTGTATTTGTGTATCTCTACTGCGTGGTGAGTTCCTAAACCATAGATAATCACCACCTGGGGTTTCTATCTTAGAAAAAAGAACACTTTTATTTGCTTTCTCAATCATAAGCTGTAGATGTGAGTGCTTTTTTTTTTAGAAATTTCCTTCAATATTTGTTGTGCAATCAATGTTTATTGTTAGACACAGAATAATATGCATACAAAGGTGCTCAGTTATTTTAAATATAGTAATAAAAAATATATGTGTTCAGGAAAGAGACGAATCCTACAGATAGTTATGAAAATATATAAAAATTATAACATTTAAGTAAAAAAATTGAACTATGTAATTAGGAACACATTTTTCAAAATTAATATACCTTTCGTCGTACTCCAAAAATGCTACAACTTTTAAATTTTCTAAAAGAATAATCATAAATAATAATAAATAAAAGAATCATAAGGTTCTGAAGCAGTTATAAAGTATTTAATGAGTTGCTTACATATGGACAAACGCTAAATTCTGATCTCTAATGTCAACAACTGGACCGTCTGAAGATAGAAATTGACCAGAAACGGCCAGAATTCGCCAACAGGAGAGGTATCGTGTACCACCAGGACAACGCTAGGCCACACACATCTACAGTGACTCGCCACACACTTTGGGAGCTTGGTTGGGACGTTTTAATGCATCCGGACTTGGCAAAAAGCGATTATCATCTTTTTATTGCATTGCAAAATTTCTTTAATGATCTGGTATCTGTGGGAGGATTGTGTGAAAATCGACTACTAGAGTTTTTTGCAAATAGAGAGCAGGACTTCTATGAGAGAGGCATTATTGAGTTACCCTTAAAATGACAACAAATCATACAACAAAACGGTGCATATTTGGCCCAAATCGGACATTCCGAAGCGTGTTAAATAATGTCCTATAGTTCAAATAAAAATAATGGAATCTTTTTTCCCCAACCTAATATAATCTTTTTTTCTGGTAGTGTGAACCGCGGGACAGACTTCACATTCAATGTGGCAATCGATAATTTTCTATGAGAGAGATTTGTATCAATTAAAAACTATGTTATAAAAATTGTGTTGAAAATGTTGCCCAGTAATTTTAAAATACAGAAAATCGATCGGTATAATTGTACAATTTTTTGGAACTGGTACTGAAATGTGGTGTTCCGTGCGAATATTTCAAAGGGAAGGGTAATTCATATCCATGACGTATATATAAAAATGAGATTATTTAAACTAAAATATATTGGATAAGTAGGGTTAATCCCTACTTCATTGCATAATATCAAAAATTGTTTTATTAAAATATTAATTTTGTGGATTAATAATAAAAATATTTTTCTTTTCTTTGAATTTTAAAGGAATTTACCTTATTTGTGGTTTACAAGACAAATGTTTTTGTTAAACGATTGCCTAATACATGTCATCTACGTTTCTATGTATTGTTGCTTAACATAAATAAAGTATATATTTGATAAATCATTAATGAATTGTTAGTGATTTTGAAACTATACTTTATTAAATTTTGAAAAAAAAATGTTTGTCCATGGCTATGTCTCCGACTAAAAGCAACAAAATGTACGTTTCTCTTATTTTTTAAATACATTTTACCCCGTTTAATTATAGCACTGTAAACAGTATATAAATGAAATGATGGCATGGTGCATTTCCATTTGTTTAGTGGTGGCATGCGACGGTGTTGATTGAATCCGCGATCATCGCTCAAACATTTCTAAGTATCGCATCAAATGTAAACACTGGCAATAATTATAAACAATGACAATTACACTACAGTGGTAATGTTTTGAAATCAGTTTGTCCTAAATTATTATAATAATAACATAAAACTTCTAAAAATATAATTTTGGGGTAATTCGACGTAAAAAGTGTTCAGAAAATAAAAAAAAAATCCGTTACCAGTTTTTTTTTTGTATTTTTTCATGTCTTTCATACTAAACGATGAAATCCCACTAAAATAGATTTTAAATATTATTTTATTCGCAAGTGTATTTTTGTTGAGAGATACTGGGGTATCTTTATATCTAACTATATTGTACATTTACTACGCACTCTATTTTTCCCACTGTAAAACTCGAGAAAAATATTCAAAAGTAAATAATAAATTATAACTTGTATATCGATTACGTCAATGTTAAAAATGTTATTCCTCAAAACCCTCGTATGGAATTTTCGCTCTTTAGCAGCAGCTTAAATAGTTTAGTATTCTTATAAATATAAATATTCGTTAAACATTACTACAGTATATACCATTTGTATTACTTAAACCCCAGTGATCCTCCATTTTCCTTTGAATACGAGCCTGAGCGTCGTCGTCGTCGTCTGTTGGTAGTAGTGGAGTTCTTCTTATTGGTGTCGGGTTATGTTTTTGGGTTTCAAACTATTTTCTTTTCAAATGATTTTCATTTAATAATGTTTTGAATTTTCAAATATTTAGCACAACAAAAAAAAAAAAAAACGTAACAAATGAAAAAAACCTCTAAACCCCGTTCGTTGCTCGAGTTCGAGGTTTTTTGTTGTTTATTTTTCAATTTCAATGGTTTTTATGTTGTTGTTATCGTTTTTAAGGCTTGTTATTTTGTTTTGTTTCTATTTTTCTAATTCACTCTTAGTTTGTTGTTGTGATTTATTGTAAATTTGTGTTTTTTTATTTGGGGTTTTGTTTTAATTTGTCAATTCACGGAAGATCGTAAGCGCGATCGTAGTTACGTTGGTTGATATTTTGAACACCGCTCGTCAGAAACTGTGCTCAGCCTCCGCAAATGTGCTCATCACACATATGACAATTGCGACAACAGCCGAGATACATTCACTCGCTCGCTCCCCACAAAGACACACAAGCTCACACACGGTACTGCAAAATCTAAAGGCGACTCGGCTCTATGACAAATTGTCGTTTTTCTTATACTTTTTCGGGGGGAAATAGAACAGGCGTTATTCAACCACTACATGGGCAACACACACACACAATGACAGTGATCGCAGAGCCAGCCAGCATCATTTTCCTTAGTGTGAGTACAATTGCTTCTGGATATTGTCGAGAAGATATGCCGCCAACATCTGCAGCATCAACAGCATTCTAAACAAAAACAAAAGTGACGGCTATGATTGAGACGACAAGAATCAGATGCAGAACCACCGACGTCGTCGTCTTTGTATAGCTTAAATTGAGCTTCTTTTTACGCTGGGGAATTAGGCGAAACATGGATGAATGGAGGCCGGCCAAGAAACGTTCACGAAACCGGGAATCTTCTGTTTTATTTTTTTGTGAATCGAACGTCACCGTAACTCTACTTCTCGGGCACGAAGGCGGTCTAGTTAAAAGAAAATCTTTGGTTTCCGTCGTCGTTGTTTTAAAACAGCGGATTTAATTATTACGTTTTTGCGAGTATTTTTTTTAGGTTTTCTGGTCAAACGTCACTGTCGGCAGAATATCAAAAGCATTTTAAATTAGTTGATCTTGAAACCGATGTAAGCCGCAAATGTTTGTCTTTTGGAGGTTGTGTGTATAAATTTCCAAAGGAAAGACGTTTAGAACACACGAAATTTCTTTGCATATGATGTTCAGTTACCGCTGTGTTTTCGTGAACTAATTTCTCCTAAGCTCGCAACTAATGCATGAAGCTCACACACAAAACCACGACGGCAATTTGATGTCAGTTGGAAAAAAAAAAAATCCAAAATCGGCAAAAACATTGAATGCTCTGGACGTCGCTGGTCGTCGCACAACGGTAACGATGACAACAATGGAGAATGACAATATGACCACCAGTGGTGGCTGGACCGAACAGAAGCGTAAAGTGATTGTGACGGGTCACGAGGGGACCACTGAAATAATGATGTGTGAGTATTAGAGTAATTTGTGCGAGCAAGTGAGCACAATACGAGATCATGCTCAATTGTCACTGTGTAAGTGAAATAATTTAAATGTGTGATGATTACTAGAGATCATCATTGGGTTGCTGTCGCTGTGTTTCTTTGTTTTTTTTTTCAAACCTAAAAAAGTAACAAACTTATTGTACAAATTAAATAAAAATATCTTTTTTTACAAAGTTCGGATATGTCTGTGTGTGTGTACTGGTATTTTTGGACAGCTATAATGCGGGTCAAATAGAATTTGGAGACAGCAAAGCTAGTGGCTTTTCGTTATTTGTCACGTATTTGTGACTTGTAAGTCAGATATTTATTATAATTGATTCAATCGATTGTTTTTATATGGGTCATTTGTTTTTAAATTATGAAATATTCGATTTTTTTATTATAAATTTTCCAATACTAAATAATGTTTTGGATTTGTAGTGAAAATGTCTGAGCTTACTCAAGCTTAATTCATTGTTGTTGGTAGTTGAACTCTTCAATTATGTATTATTTTTCAAATATTGTGGTGGATTTCGACAATATTGTCAAATATATTTCATTAGATGTGCGTACGGTCAAATTTACTTCATTAGATGTGCGTGTTGTATATGTCATTATAGTATCCGAATGAAACCCATCCCATTTCACATAATAATTAAAGCGTGTCCACAAATGTCTGTATACGACAGTTCATTGCAAATGAACTGCCCAGTATCGGATTCTATTCTAAGTACAAAGTGGTGCAATAAAAATCGAACCAAAGCAAATGAATCGAATAAAATAAAATTAAATAATAAACAAAACAGACGCACGCTTACAGAACGACACATACACACATTCACACCGGACCCTGCAAAAGGTCACTACAATGTAATAGTAATTCGACACTGGGGCATAATGTGATTAAGCGACGTCATTACAAATTATTTCAACATATTATGAGCATTATCATGCTAACGATGATAATGACACTTTTTGGAATGATAGTATTTAAATAAATAATAGAATCAAAATCATATGGTTCTGGGAGAAAATACTAAGGTTTCATCAAAATCGTGGTTTTTTATTGGTTTAATTTTTTATTAATTTAGTGTTTATTAAATTATGTTTTTGTTTTTATTAAAAAGTTAATAAAAATATCGATTTTAAATAAAAAGATACAATTTTTACTTATAATAAGTAAAGTTTGTGTGACATATTTACTGAAGGCGTCGTGCAAAATAATACACTGATAAGGAAAACATTCACTCCCAAATGTAAATTTGTGTAGTATCTGGATTCTAGAATGCGCAGTGAGTTGTGAAATCCAGTCCAGATTACCGAATAATCTGGATTATAGAGATTGCAATACTTAAAATACTTCAAAATTCTGTTTGCTTGTGCAGCTCCTGTTTTAATGTTTTACTTATTCATCCTTTTAAAATTTTTGTTACAGGTGCCAGGATAAGGATTCGTGATGGAACGTATGGCTGATACATTGTAGATAATTTTGTCTAGAACTAATTGAGCAAAATGCTTCCGAAAAACCATCCAATCAAAATTGGAATCTTTTTTCAGGTCGTCGAGGCTTTCATTTACAGTCTTCGAGGCTTTATTTTACATTATTAAACTTTCGATCGAAGTTAATTTTGGTCTAAAAATCATGTCAGATATGAGTAAATAATATTTTATCTATTTTTAACAGAATAACTGCAGATTAAGAAAAACGATTGGATTGCACGTGCTTGATCCGAATATGAATAAGATTTTCCGTTTCTAAAAATTATAATCAAATTAATATTTGAGTTTATCAATGAGTGTCCGTATTTCGTCGTTAAATTCACTTCCATGCGAAGCATTTGAGAACATTTTTTTTTTAGATTATTGATTTATTATTAATAGACCTAGTTCCTACTAATTTATTGAGGAAATTTTATACATTTCATTCATTTAGATAGACTTTATTTTTATTTTTCCGTCTTGGTTGCAAAAGTTTTCACAATTTATCCCCCCCACGATTTCGCATCTTGGTTGACTTTTATAAATACTATAGTGCGGTCATATATCTGTACATCAACATGTCTATACATACTACTCACTTCACGTATGTGTGTGTGTGATATTATCACTTAAAATTTCATTCTTTTCACAAATCATTTTTCTACTTTAATTTGAATACAATGGGATACCGTGTGTCCTATACGAGAGAATAATTCAAATGTAATCTGTTGTATTAAGAAGAAGAAAATCATCATCGTCGTCGTTGTTGTTGCTGTTGTTGTTTGTCATTAAACGACGACAACAAATAACATCGGTCACATACCGATCGCATAATGCCCGCAGCACCTTTACCTTCCTTGTCCCCCGTCCTTCCGTGTCCAATGGTAGAGAGTAGTAATAAAAATCAGTGGTGAATTTTGTTGTCTCGCTTTTTGCTTTACAGGAGCTGCTACAAAAATAAAGATCTACTTGCAGCTATCTCCATTCGTACATATGTATGTACACACAACTTAGATACATTAAATAACAATCAATGATGGAGAAGGTGCTCTATGTGGTTGGTGCTGCATGTATTTTTCTGGGTGTATGATTGTGTGTGTGTGTGGAAAAAAGCAAAATGTTCATTGTTGTTGAAAAGTTGAAAAAAAAGAAATAAGTTTGACGTTCTCTGCTCATACAATAGAGCCAAACACAAGCTGGACAAAAATGTATCTTTAGAAGATTTAAGTGACAAAGTGAATTAAGTAAGATTTGGTGGTGATTGTGGTTGTTGTTCTTAATATCGTTTTCGATGTCTTCTCTATTTTGTATATGTACATCAATATATGTTGGATATTTGTATGTAAAAATGTGGTCAATCATATAAATCGGTTGTCGCCAGTAGAAACTGACTTGCCTCACAAAAACACACACACACACGCACACAAACATTTGTGTGACTTTTATTGTTGCACGAATAAAACTAAAAAATAACACACAAAAACACACACACACGTTTTGTGTTAAAAAATAATATATATTTTAGAAATTTAAACCTCATTTGATATCCCTCAAATAACGGTAGGCGGGGATATGAAGGACCTACACCCATTTCTCAATCTAGCCTTTTTGGTTACTTCACACACTTTTTCATGAGATGCATTTGATATATTTTCTTCTAAATTCATTGTAGAAATAAACCATAATTAAGTAGCGTATGTAAATTACAGAGGTAATTACATTTAATTTAGCATACTTTAAGGAGTTTTAATTAAATATAATTTGTTTCTATAAAACAATCTGTTTATTTCAATCCAAATATATATTTTTTGTTTTACTAATTTCCATTAAATCGATGTTGACAATGTGGTAACACATGATTACCAAAAACATGCATTTCCAATATTACAGCCAATACAATATAGGCTAAATAGGAAATTAAACAAATTATCGCTACAACAAAACCCAATT